TGACTGACAATCGGCCGACCCACCCTCATCCATCCTTAAACCCAACCGGTTTTAACGATTGACCCGCCCACTCGCCCGCCCGCTCGCTCACTTCCCTAAACACAAGCGACGATTTACAAAAGCCATCCAGAAAAAGAAAAGCCCCCTCGTCTGATTTTGACCAGGTTTTCGGATTTTGCCAAATTGTTGTGAACTTGTTCGCTCTTCCCCTGACTCGAACCCGGTCGTCGCCGTTGTCGCGGTCGGCTCCCCCGCATCTCTCCTCCTTTTATGAAAACAAAGAGCTAACCAGACAAACTAGTTGCGGCGGGAAATCCCTCCACACGAAGGTGAGCTGTCAGCCGGCGAGTGCGAAGAGGAGCGGCGTCACACCGCCCCGTAGCGCTCACTTGAAAAAATTAAATGCAGCTATACACACCTCAGGCCACATAAATCACGGTCTCCAGAAACGTCTGCAGGGCTACGTTTCCAGAATGAGCCTGGGTTAAATGTATTCATTCATTAATTTATTTTCTTGTCAGCTTAGTCCCTTTATTAATACGGGGTCGCAAAATACGGGGTCGTTAAATGTATTAACAAATTAAATAAAATTAAAATATCAGATTAATTAAATGGGACAAAAATACAAATCTAAAAAGTACTAATAATTCAGGAGTGCGAATAATTCTGACTTCAACTGCAAATCATATTAATAAATAGTAATGAAACATAAATAACATGCAAGTTGAAGCCGAGCTTGACACTTTAACTCCAAAACTGGCACGTTATTCTTGTATGTTAACCATTTATGACCTAATTTTTTTTTCTTAATTACATACTTTTGTGATTGTTGGATCCCGAAATCAAAATCAATTGAACAGCCTTAGTCTGAAAGTGACTTGTAGACAAAAGTTTGTTGACTTTGCCCACCTGTGAGCACTTCCTCAGGTAATCGAGCGCAGGCAGACACAGATCTGTAGAGCTGTATCCACTGACATGAACACAATCGCCAATCTCCTTATAGTCCACTTCACCTACAAACAATCCAACAACACACATTATTCATGACAGACAGCGAAAGAAGAAAACGTCAATTGTCAAAAATATACATCAGCTGTTTTCATTTCTATGAGCTTTGCGTTTTTGACTGTTTGGCGCCATCTTGTGTCCGAATAATGCGCAGGTTAGTGTATAATCCATCAGCTGTTTTCATTTCTATGAGCTTTGCGTTTTTGACTGTTTGGCGCCATCTTGTTTCCGAATAATGCGCAGGTTAGTGTATAATCAATCAGCTGTTTTTTTTAATTTCAGTGAGCTTTGCGTTTTTGACTGTTTGGCGCCATCTTGTGTCCGAATAATGCGCAGGTTAGTGTATAATCCATCAGTTGTTTTCATTTCAGTGAGCTTTGCGTTTTTGACTGTTTGGCGCCATCTTGTGTCCGAATAATGTGCAGGTTAGTGTATAATCCATCAGCTGTTTTCGTTTCTGTCAGCTTTGCATTTAATTAAAGAATTAATAACCTTTTACAGCTCAGAACAAAGTCTTGTGTCTAATATTTATGTTTTGTGGCAAGTAGCCATGGAATAACCTGGATAAAGTACATCCAGGAGGTCGTTTTCCAGAATAACACCATTCAGTCATATACAACAGTTGGGATGATGATAAACCTATCAGGCTTTATTATGCGACCTAGATGTACTTGGAATAATGTGACTGACCAATAAATCAAGTATTCCAGAGATTGTTTGAACAAATTACTCACCTAAACCTTTGACAAACTTCATAAGGCACATGATGTAGTCGGTGGCGGCGTTAGCAAACACCTGAATGTTGTCTGTGTTAATGAAGGCTTCAAACACATCAAACACTGGAGCCTGAGACTTCCCTGCACATATGAAGAAGAGGGAAACGATTTACTATACGTTAAGGTTAGAACGCCGGTCAGGTTTATGGTTAGCTGCATGTAATTATACATTAATCAATTGTAATTACTATAGTAAGTATGTGTGTAACAAGGACACCTTAATATAAAGTGTAACCAAAATAAATATTAGATAAAAAATCTTTGATAGCTGCAAAGACAACTTGTCTAATTTTCTAATTAATTTGGGGAAAAAAATGAACAAAAACAAACTATAAAAGATCATCATAATGCTACTATTGATGGTTATTGCGACAAAAGAAAGGCTTAGCAGTCTAGTTCTCCATACAAAAACACAGTGTAGGAAAATCTTCGGTCCCACTTTATATTAAGTGGCTTTAACTAATATGTACTTAAATAGGAATAAATAGTTTGTTACAATGTAATTATTGTGTAAATACATGTATTTACTGTGTACTTATGTGTGATTAAATGCATGTGTGTAATTACATCTGTAGTTAACTTTTGTAATTACATTTGTAAATACACTGTTGACCATCCCTTACACCTTAACCCACCCTTAAACCTACCCATACCACAAAACCTGTCCATAACCCAACTTCTATCCCAACTCAAAAGCACCACAAGTGTTCTCAAATACATTATAAACACAGTAAGTACATTGTATTTTTTTTTTTTTATGTAAGTACATAGTAGTTAGGGACACTTAATATAAAGTGGGACCAAATCTTCTAAACAATTCTGAAAAAAACCTTATCTTAGTAAAGCAAACATGACAGACCCATAGAATATTCTCCTATCAGATAATCCTTGACATCCGTCTTGTTTCCATGCACGGTTCTGAGAGCGCTGAAGAGCGGCCTCCATCCAGACTGAATCTGCGCTGAACACATCTCCACCAGCTCTCCGATGGAAGTGATCACCTGCACATGTAAAACACAACACACAATGTTGAACAGGCCCACGTGGAAACTGCGGATGTACACTTAAAGTGTCATATACACTTTCGTATAGTGAATTTGAACAAGTTAGCATTTAGAAAGGCAAATAAGACACATCAGGAGAGTCAGGCAAAAAAAAAACTCTAACCTTGCTCTTATTTAGAGCAAAGTGAGGACAAGTAGAAAAAACAGCCCAATATAGCACAGAAAGCACACAGACAAGACACAACATAGACAAATGGGATGGGAACAGGGGATATTGATGTATTCTGATGAGGGCGGTAGCCATTTGGTCCTGCAGACGCGCCCACTCCTCCCCTGGGTGAAAGCACACAAAGGCGTTTGGATGATGGGATCGGTAGTGATTGTTTATCTGTAGTTGTGTATGTTTTTGTGTGTGTGTGTGTGTGTGTGTGTGTGTGTGTGTGAACCTGTAGAGTCCAACAGGTGTCCTTGACAGGGAGCAGGATTTTCAGAGCAGGAATTTCTACCCTAATAACTATTAATAAACAGATAATTAGTAGTTTATTAAGCTGGTGGTATTAGTTAATGGTTTGTTAATAGCATGAATTGTGACCTAAACTAAAATGCTACCCATATATTATATGTTAGAATTACATTGCATAATACTTGACTAGATATTTTTCAAGACACTAATATTAGGGTAATTAGGCAAGTCATTGTATAACAGTGGCTTTTTCTGTATACAATAAAAAACAAATAGGGCTAATAATATCAACGATAAAATGGTTAAAAATAATTAAAAACAGATTTTTTTCAAGCCGAAATAAAACAAATAAGACTTTCTCCAGAACTAAAAAGATTATAGGAAATACTGTGAAAAATTCCTGAATCTGTTAAACATCATTTGGGAAATATTTGAAAAAGAAAAAAAAAAAATTAAATAATTTTGACATATTATTAAAAAATATTAAATAAATTTTCAACTATATACACATATATGTGTGTGTGTGTGTGTGTGTGTGTGTGTGTGTGTGTGTGTGTGTGTGTGTATATATATATATATATATATATATATATATATATATATATATATATATATATATATATATATATATATATATTTATTTATTTATTTATTTATTATTATTATTTTTTTTATGTGTTGTTTGTATTTACTAAACTCTAAAAAATCAAATCTTCAGATCCTGCACAGAAATAGCTAATAATATCTACAGATTTTGTCTGACGAGTGACTGCAGGGTTTTTGCTGAATGCATTATAAGTCTAATTCAGTGCGTGGATCCTGACCTGATCCTGGACGTCTTCATCGCAGAGCTCCAGCTGCATGATGTGCTCAAACGGTCTGAAAAGAGCCTCATTGAAGTGAAAATGCGGCAGCTCCGGCCAGCTGCTCAAAACCTCCATCAGGACATCATGGATGAAGGACACGGCCTTCTGGGACACGTGGCGCTCCTTGTGACAGGCCGCCTGTGGGGAACAGGTCAAAGAGTTGGAATCTGAAAACCTCAATAATATAGATGTGCATTAACAGTTAAGTCAGAGTTATTTGCCCTCCTGAATTATTATATTTTCCCCCCAAGTTCTGTCTTGTTTTTGAGTCTGCCACTATGCTTACACTCCGCCCACTTTTAAAAAGAGCACAATCTCATTTGAATTTAAAGCGACAGTCACCAAAACGACACAATTAGGATCAAAGCCTACAGGAGGCAGTTATCAGACATTATTTGTGTGGTATTATGAGCTGAAACTTCACAAACACACTCTAAGGGACATCAGAGACTTATTTTACGTCTTGTAAAAAGGGGCACAAACCTCCACCAGGTGTGGTGCTACAACGCTCCAGGCTCTCATCATGTGCAGCAGCGGCCTGCTCTTGTTCTTCACGATGCGCAGCATGGCTTCTCCCAGCCGGAAGAGGTGCAGGGCGCTGCGCTTGTCCTGGGTCGACTTTGCCTCTCCTTTAATAACCAAACATGAAAACAAATAGCAGTAACACTTTTGTTTAAGGCCCCGTTTACACTAATGAGTTTTCATTTTATAACTCATAAGTTTTGCTACGGTTACGCCATCCGTCCACACTACGCTGGAGTTCTCGAACTCCGGAAACGGAGCGTTTCGAAAACGCGGAAGAGGCCGTTTTCATTCTAAAACGCTGCTGCTCAGTCTCAGTGTGGATGGGGGAAAACGGAGACATCTGAAAACGGGCTGCAGACATTCGCATACGTTGTTTAACTTTCTCAACAATAAAATAAAAACATGATAGCTATAAAGAACTGCCTATTTTCATTTTGACTTTCAACTTAACAGACAGCAGAAATGTTGAGGCGTCGTGCTGCATCTTCACTGTATGCATACTTATAATTAAACAGAGCCTTCAATAACATCCTTTCATTTTCATTGAAAATACGAAACGTATCCTCTGCTTTGCTGAATGTCAGTTTTAATAATCAATAAAAGCCATTATGAAAGTATAACGCACAATAAGTTTATACATTATAGGAAATAAAGGCAAGCGATCAGTCAATATACAGAATGTACATGGTTACATTAATTATTAATTTATCTTTGCGATCAGCCGAAACACGTTACCTAAGAACAAGTAATCGATTCAAAAGACCAAAGTCGGGGAATATGTCGCTAGATAAAGACAACAAGATTAATTAAATATCACGTTTAATAAATATAGTGAGATTAGATCCAGCGGGAGATGCTTGATGAGAAGTCCGACCAGCACAGCTCTCATCTGGGTAGAAATGGTGCAGCGCTTGCCCGAGAGAGAGTGTGTGTGTGTGGTCACATGATGTGCGTTTTCAGCGTTTTGGTGTAGACGGAGAGCAGTTCAGAAACACTGGGTAAAACGATAGTGTGGATGCGGATCGTTTTGATTTTAAAACGCTGTTTTAAAACTAAAACGCACTAGTGTAAACGAGGCCTCAGTCACAAATCACGCTAATAACTACTGGATTAATGAGTATTAAAACTAATGGATTATATTATATTAAACAGCATTTTTACCTTGCGTGAATGTCAGTTTTCCTGTTGACGATAAATACTTTTAAACTAGATTAAGTTAAACTTTTTAGTTTGAACCAAAGTTAAATTATGATTTAAAAAAACTAAAAACAATGTTGCTGTAACAAAACTACAGTAAAGTTGGTTCAAAGTGTGTGTTTTTTTTTTTTTTATTCAAGCCTTAAAAAAATCCAGTGGACCACCGCTTTAAGCTGTTGTTTACACTGTTAAACACTCTGCTTTTAATTTACCTGGCATGGCCAGTGAATAGTCTCCAGTTTCTGTGACGGAATCAAACAGCTGAGACTGTGAAGCTTTTCTGAGCTGATGCAGGAATCCCACAAGACTCACGAGGTTGAGTTTACTGACGGCGTCCTCAAACAGCCTGCAGCACAAACAGCACAAAGACAAGTCAAACTATAATCATTCATTCATTCCTTTTTTTAGTCAGCTTAGTCCCTTTATTAATCCGGGGTCGCCTCAGCGGAATGAACCGCCAACTAATCCAGGAAGTTTTCACGCATCTCTGGGAAACATCCACACACACATTCACACACACACTCATACACTACAGACAATTTAGCCTACCCAATTCACCTGTACCGCATGTGTTTGGACTGTGGGGGAAACCGGAACACCCGGAGGAAACCCACGCGAAGGCAGGGAGAACATGCAAACTCCACACAGAAACGCCAACTGAGCCGAGGTTCGAACCAGCGATTCAGCGACCTTCTTGCGGTGAGGCGACAGCACTACCTACTGCGCTACTCGCCCAAACTATTATCAGACATGTGAAAACAACCGTGATGGACTAATGGTCAGTAATAATAGTTTTGCACCCATTTAAAAGTGTAAGTCAGTATATGCAAATATTCATATTTGGATTTCACAAATGTAAAAATATACAGTGTCATTTAGAGTTGAATTTTTGGGAATATTTCCTAAATGATGTAGAACAGATTCAGGAATTTTTCACAGTATTTCATATATTTTTTTCTTCTAGAGAAAGTCTTATTTGATTTATTTCAGCTAGAATTAAAGCAGTTATTTTTTTAAAACCATTTAAAGGTCAATATTATTAGCCTATTATCATTTTTCATATGTGGCCTTCCGTGTAGTGTCTAATGTAGCTGTGTGTGAATGTAAAGGTCTGCAAAACTTTTAGGAGCACAGTACATACAAATGGAGTCATTGACAGCTTTAAAAAGAAGATTTGACTTGCTCTAAAAGCAGCACATTGCATCTGCATACTAAAGCAGAGACACCAAAAATGCAGATCAAATTATGATCTTACATGTCCATCTAGTGGCCATTTATAATATAACTCCAGCTAGAAGTCGAAGGTTTTTAGTTATTCTCTGAAAAAAAAGCAGTTCTTATCTGAACACATTTACAACAAGTGCTATTTATTTAATCATTCATTCATTCATTCATTCATTCATTCGCCTTCAGCTTAGTCCCTTTAGTCCCTTAGAACATGCAAACTCCACACAGAAATGCCAACTGACCCAGCCGGGACTTGAACCAGTGACCTTCTTGCTGTGGCAAGACAGTGTTAACCACTGAGCCAACGTGACGCCTTGAACACATTTTATTCAACACGACTCCTATTCACTAACACAGGGGTCACCAACATGGTGCCCGCAGGCCTGTTCTAAAAATAGCTCACCATAGCGCCACTTACCAGTAAGCTCCATCTAATATAGAAGTAATCATATGTGTGGTTAGGCTTGGTTTAGGGTTAGTTTCATGCAATTATCCATCATTAATTGCAATTACTACAGTAAATACATTAAAATAGTTACCATAATATATATATATATATATATATATATATATATATATATATATATATATATATATATATATATATATATATATATATATATATATATATATATATATATATATATATATAAATACACACACAAACACACACAGACACACACACACAGTTATAACAGTTACAGAGCACAGTTTGCTACTGCTGCACTATCAAGAATGTAGTTGTTTAGATTGCAACTTTGCAGTTTATTTATAAGGATAGTGCCTATGAATATTTATAATTTCAGAGATTTAGCGTGTCATACTAAGCAGAGCAAAGACAGTTGACGTTCTGCCACAAGATGGTGACAGAGACCGCATAATAAGTCTTTAGGTTCATAAGTCTTAAGGTTCCTCATTCTTTAAGTCATAATAAGTTCTAAGCGTATTTTTAAATAACAGCTGAACAAATCATTATAAAACAGGTAAGTGACTTTCTAAGTCCATCGCTCTCTTTTGTATGTTCTAGTGCTGTATTTATACAACAGTAATCTGCTAGTGTTTACTTTGCTTTGGCTTTTTCTGGGTTAATTTTGTGATCTCCCGATTGCAACAGAGAAATACTGGGAAATCTGTGTAGACTGATGGCATCTCATGCTGTTCAGCCCTTATAATCTTAAAATGTGAGCAAAATCAGCTTTTTTGTCATCACTTTAGACATTACGCTAGAGAATCATTCAAACACTAGCTCTAAAGTGACGTTGGTGAATTAGTAACGGTTTATCCTGTTCTGATGTCAGCTGCAGATGAGAATGAACGGGGGAAGAAAGTAGTTCCTCTTACAAAAGGGTTTTTAGGCTCTCCGTGTTAGATTTTCTTTTTTTATACACACGATTATGCTGTCGAACTGTTGTATAAACACAATATGGCTGTATATCGTCACTGGTGGGACACTAAGGCGAGCCAACACCACCAGTTTAAGTAACAAAAAGCTTTTAGTTTTACTTCCGTATATTAACCTATATGCATAGTTATAGTTCTCTCCAAACTGAAAATTCTGTTATGATTTTACTCTATTTTAATATGCAATTTACAGCATTAGTAAATTATTAACTAATACTTTTAGCTCAATAAACAACTAATTAGCTGCTTAGTAGTTAGAGTAGTATTAATAGTTATTGGGATGTAGATCATACTTTATAAGTGCTAATAAACAATTCACATCTTAATAATGGGCAGGTAATAATCCAGCAGTAAATGATGTGAATGGTTACTCAAACTAAAGTGTTACCAAGTTTTTTTTTTTCTGTTAAACAGACTACAGACAACATATTTTGAAAAGAGCTGATAAACTGTAACCATCGACTTCCATGGTTTGTTTTTCACCTGTCAGCTTGTGTGGAAAGTGTGCAGACGGCTTTGGCTGCGCTGGTTCCCGTGAGCAGACTCCCGCCCCGCAGATCCAAGGCTTTCCCGCGAGCGCTGTCCTTCAGGAGCTGCTGGATGGAGAGCGGCTGGATGACAGGCTGACTGAGGCTCAGCTCCAGCTCCGGACTGACCTCTGCGCTCAGATCCAGACCCAGATCCAGATCCACGGCTACAGCCTGCTGCGCCTGCGTGATGGCCAGAGGAGGCTGAGAGCCGCCGTCACTGAAGTGAGTGTGCTCCAGTGTACTCACATACTCGATCACCCTTTAATCAATACAAAACCATTAATGAATACAACAATTGAAAGAAGAGCAGTTTTTTTTTTTAGCCTTATAGCCGTCTTGTCTACCTTAGTGGTTGTGTTCATGGCTCCCACAAATATATGAACACTAACTGGTTTTCAAAACAAATAATAAAATGCTACTCGGTTATGTGAAAATAAACTGATAAACAGATTACGGAATAAATTAAATAAATTAAAAATACATATTTATAACTATAAAATTATTTTAAATTGTGTTATTACTGGTTTATACTTGAGCATTAATGTCCCTGGTTACAATGTATTTCTGATTCAGACTAGGTGACCACTCATGACCATATTGTTGTGTGTGTGTGTGTGTGTGTGTGTGTGTGTGTGTGTGTGTGTGTGTGTGTGTGTGTGTGTGTGTGTGTGTGTGTGTGTGTGTGTGTGTGTGCTTTTAATTCATTCATTATTCGATTATTTGATTATTCATTCATTTTCTTTTTTTGGCTTAGTCCCTTTATTAATCTGGTGTCGCCACAGCGGAATGAACCGCCAACTTATCCAGCATATGTTTTATGCAACAGATGCCCTTCTAGCCACAGGCCATCACTGGGAAATTTCATTCATTCATTACATTTCTTTTTGGCTTAGTCCCTTTATTAATCAGGGGTTGCCACGAGGTAATGAACCAACAACTTATCCAGCACATTTTACGCAGAGGATGGCCTTCCAGCCGCAACCTCAGACTGGGAAACTTCATTAATTTTCTTTTTGGCTTAGTCCCTTGATTAATCAGGGGTCGCCACAGCGGAATGAACCGCCAACTTATCCAGCATATGTTTTACGCAGCGGATGCCCTTCAAGCCGCAACCCAATACTGGAAAACTTAAAAATTTAAAATAATAAATAAATAAGCAAAAAACATTTTTAAAAATAAATAAATAAATAATTGCAACCAAAATAAAAATATTCAAAATAAAAAAAATCAAATAAAAATAATAATAATAAAATAATATATAAAATACAAATAATACAAAATCAAGATATTGACACAAGATACTTTCCTATGTATATTATGTAAATTATGTTTTTATTTTGGATCTGACATCATTATGTCAGCAATAATGAACTAAAATAAATAAATGAGAATATATGTTTTATATATATATATATATATATATATATATATATATATATATATATATATATATATATATATATATATATATATATAATTTATTTCTTTTTTATTTTTTTAGGGGTGCATTATTAGAGAAAAATGTGTATATTTAGAGCCTATTTTAGGAATTTCATTAAATTGGAGATCTTAATTTGATTGTGTTGTACCTGAAGACGTGAGGCCAGCAGTCGTGGTTATGGCTGCCCATTTCCAGGCCCACGTTGAGAATGGCGTCCATGCAGAGGACATGAGCAGTGTGAAGCCTCACGCCCTGAGAACGGCTCATCTGCTCCAGCTTCTGTTCCACACGCTGCTTCACTGCAACACACACACACATAATATTTATACTGTACAGACTATAAAAAAAACCCAAACCCCCACAGAAAACAATCTGCAGTTTTCCATGATAACACTTAGACGATAAGGTTCCTGTAGTTAATACTAAATAATGAATTTATTAACATGAATATTATCCTAAACTCCACATTTATAATCCTCTTAGCTGCAAACATTATCTTCAGCAGGTCAAAACTCTAATGGCGGACGGCTACTTCTCACTCAGGGCTGTCTATGCTAATGAGGGAGAGATGATCACTAATCGGCAGGGCTTTTTCCCTCTGAGGACACGTACAAAGGATGAATGTCAAAATGTTTCTGCAGTTTTTATCAAGTGTGATTATAAAAAATACAATTTAAAAGCCCATAATATACATAAAATATTGTCAAATTTTGGTTGTAAGGGTCTCCAACAACAGTCTAATATGCAAGCAAGGTCAAAAACACTTTCATTATCTTGTAATCTGCATTTATTTTTACCTAACTATCCCAGCGACTCTCATATGAATCGTTCAGTGATTCATTTGTTCCCAACCCCCTCCTTAGCACGAAGCTAATCTGCGCTGATTGGACCGATGACAGTCTGTTGCGATTGGTCAACACCGACAGCCTTCAGCGTGAGACAGAGTGAAATGCCCAGCAGCTAATCAACAATATAAAATTTGTCACAGTGCACACACGCTTCATAGTGCTGTGGATTTTGGCCGCAAGTGGGGGAATGTAAATACAGACGATAGACTTGAAAATACTGACGACTGACTATTTTATTGAGCAAAAACTCCAAGAACTGGCGAGGAGATCTCCTAGCTTGCCACACTCTGCTCTTTTCAGACACACACACACACACATTACCCTCCTTCACGGAGGTCCGTAAACTAAGCGGCACGCGTCGCGTTTTTAACGTGGCTTTACACGCGATATGAGAATATAGCGAGTTAACCTGATTCAGTACATGCGGTTACAAGTAACAAATCACAACTAAATACATTTGCAAGCTAGAGTAAACGAGGCAACAACTTTAATCACACGTACTCACAATTGAGAAATGGAGGAGGAAACCCATCCAGGTTCTGAAATAGTCCATCAGTAGTCTTTACTGATCCTTCCTTTAACAAACGGCCAATGAAGTCTTCAAGTGCTCAAGGCTGGGCTAATGCTGAGGTTTCATCTTTGGGTAGAGACTCAATAACATCCATCTGCACATTGCCACTTCATTTGTCCGGCGTTTTTGTGTGTGTTTGTGTGTTTGTTTGTATGTGTGTGTGTGTGTGTGTGTGTGGGGGGCTTTTTCAGTGTTAGAGGGCGGGGCCGCAGGTTTCAAATCTCCCGGGTTTGCGTGCGCAACTACTTGGTTTCATTGTCACGTCATGGCGAAACACCTAATGGCTCGTTATCAAGACGACTCGTTTAAAGCACTTTGAGTCGACTCTTTTATAGATGAATCAACCGCTTTAAACACTGTACACTAACAGATTTAAGCCTTAGCTGGATATTTCGCTTCACTTAGAGCTGTGTTACACACTACATGGAAGGTGTTATGACCTAAACCGGTCACCACAAATAAGGAGAAGACGAGTGCAATTGCGGTAGAAAAATATATTTATTTACTATTATCAAAGGTCGTGTTGCTAGCCCACTCAGGTCCAAGACCGATCCCAGACGAAAAGTAAGTGACCAGATTCAGCATTTTCAAAAACCCATAATAGGGGCTCTTTATTACATTTTTACATTTTGAAGCTGGCTATAATCACACACTGATTTTTATATAATATGTCCCATTTTGAAAGTTTTGATTTCAACTCATATACTCTCAAAATCACTCCTTATAAATTTACATATTTCAAGAGTTCACACTTAGCAGATGATTAATTATAAAAGCTTGTTTGGCATGCTGTCCCGGGAGAGAGCCCTGAGCTCATGAGATCCTCGAGCCCAGGGCTCCCTCCCGTTGCAAGGCGGAAGGGGAGTTTGAGCTCAGGTAGATCTTGAGAACTCCCCTGCTGTAGTAACCAATAAACAGTAAGTGATTGCTCTTGGAGATAACTACGTACTAGAAGCATGTCTATGGTGCCAATTTGGATTAGTCAATTAACTTAATTGCATGTTTTTAGACGGTGGGAGGAAACCGGGGAACCCGGAAGAAACCCACGTGAGCACGGGGAGAAGTGCAAACTCCACACAGAAATGTCAGCTGGTTTGGTAAAGCCTGGAACCAGAGACATTCTTGCTGTGAGGCGACAGTGCTACGCACTGGGCCACCGTGTCACCCATCTAAGAAGGAGGATTAGGGGTGGAAGGGGGGACTCTTCAAAACGAAGATAGCAGTGGAATGAAACCCAGGGTATTTATAGTAGTTTAGGAGTCATCTGATTAGAGCGTAGTGAATTGGATAATGGGATCCAGCCGCTAGCAATCATAAGCACGTGATCCTCTCGAAATTAGTTTATACATAAACTTCACTTTTCAGACAATTCTGCACAGATGGGGTAAACAAAATGCAGATTCTGTCTGGCTCTGCCAATATGTCATCCCTATGCATGACTGTGATCGCGGTTTATGTGAAATGTGTGAGTGTACCTTGAGTAATGGCATCTCCAGTGTCTCCTAATTCTTTCTCCTCTTTGTCCTCCTGAACACATGAAGCCGCTGCCATCTGCGCCAGTGCTGAAGCACAGTTGGCTGCCACCCCTGGATAACAGAGAATGAAGGCCCAGCAGACACATTAATGTCCTGCACTACCTGACAAAAGCCTTGTCATGGATCTCAGTTGTAAGAGCAACCAATAATAACTTGACTTCTAGCGGATCATCTGGAAAAGTGGCAGAAGGTCGATTTTTTTCGATGAAGACCTACTGGAACCAGCATGGACTGAAGATTCTTACAGAAATCAGTCAAGTTTGGTGAAGGAGAAATCATGGTTTGGGGTTTCATTCAGTACGTGCAAGATCTGCAAAGTGGAAGATTCAGCCTCCACATCAAAGCTCCTGAAAGCAAAGAAGGTCAAGCTGCTCCAGGATTGGCCAGCCCAGTCACCATACATGAACATTATTGAGCATGGGGTCAGATAAAACAGGTATTAGAGATGAACACAAAGAGTCTTGATGAACTCTGGGAGTCCTGCAGGAACACTTTCTTTGCCGTTCCAGATGACTTTATTAATCAGTGATTTGAGTCATGTCAGAGATGTATGGATGCAGGAAGCTCATGATGGAGTCAGACACAATATTCATTCTGTCTCCACTGCAGCAGGCCTTTATATTCTATACTGGACATTATTTCTGTTTAGTGATGAGACTTTAGTCTAAGCAAAGTCAGACCTTACTGTCATAATGAAATCATTTAAAGTCAAGACATGATCATATTTTATTGTGGTAATATAAGCATAATCTAGAGGCCTTTGTCTTTCATATACGCCACTTCTGATGCCAATTGATCAACTAGAAGTCAACTTATTCATTGTTGCTCCTAAACCTTGGATAGGCAGCAATACATTTGTCAGATATTGTATAAACAAAGTGCACTGAGAATGAACGATGTTCAATGTTACCCAGAGCGCAGCTGAGCGCTGCAGCCTTGCGCAGACCGTCCAGACTGAGGCAGATGGTGTCTCTTTCCCTCTGCGTCTGCTCTTTAACGCCCTCTGCCCCCAGAATGAAAGCCAGACTGCGAGAGCTTCCAGCCATGCGCCCTGTGAGCGGCGTGGACAGTGTGTCGATCAGGTTTTTCCAGCAGCCGGTCAGGATGTAACGCGCAAAAACCACACCTGTCAGCAAACAATAAGAGACTTATGAACTGATACTCTGCTGTTGGGATTAGGGCTGCACGATATTGAACAAATCCCCTCTGATTTTGGGAATAATTTACAGGGATGGTTGGATTTAGGGATAGGGAATATGGATTACATTTTCCAACAAAAATGATGAGATAGGATCACATCAAACTGTACTTGGCAAACTATACAAGCCTGAAAAATTGATTAAAAAAACAACTATTATGCAGACACTTATTATTTAATGATATTAGATGGTAAGCTAAGTGCATTTGATAGGTTGTAGTTTCAATTTAACATTTGCATGTGTTTGTAAAAGCATGTGTTATCAATTAATTTGTCTGAGTATTTGTTGCATGGATGTTGTTTAGACCAGCTGGTGTCCCTAGCGTTGCGTTACAAATGCCTCAAGACCATTTTGTGAAGCAATTGAAACTTGAATGCAATTTCGTTTTTCCCATCCCTACCTGCCACCAGGCTGTCATTGCCGTTTTTGTCACAGGTGAAGGGTGACTGTGATGAGGCTTTTCTGATCAGCTGACCACCAATAGCGCTGCTGCCCAGTCCATCAATATCTGACAGGAGAAAGAGAGAGAATCCTGATATGGACCTTTGCAAGCGAAACACAGATGATAGAACAGCAGGCAATACATCATCATTTAAAGCACTTAAAGTACTCTTCCTACAGGGTCAGTGGCTCTGGAGAAAACTGAGGTTAAACAGATGTAATCATTGAGCGTCTTTACACTGCTTTACGCTGTTAATGTGATGGATTGTATAGGAATGGATTGCAGTTGCAGTTTATACTGTAGCTTCAGTGACAGGAATATACAGTTGAAGTCAGAATTATTCGCCCTCCTGTGAATTTTCATTTCTTTTTCTATTTCCCAAATGATGTTGAACATATTCAGGAATTTTTCACAGTATTTCCTCAAATATTTTTTTTCTTCTGGAGAAAGTCTTATTTGTTTTATTTCAGCTAGAATAAAAGCAGTTCTGATTTTTTTTGTAAACATTTTAGGGTGAATATTATTAGCCCCCTTAAAGCCCACCCTCCCCCCTTTGAGGATATGTGGATCACATAGATGACTGTCAACATCTCATGTTTCATAACCCTTTAACAGGGCTCGAAATTAACCTTTTTGCTTGGTAGCAGTGGTGCTCCTAACTTTAAAAATTTAGGCGCATCAGCCAAGATTTATTCGCACCCACCAATTATAAGCACCATTACTACAAGTTTTATACAAACATATTTATAGCATTTGAAATCAACACTAATCAAACAAGCAAAAACAAAAATATATATATATATCAATGACTGTAAAAAATATGGACGACGCGACAGCCCTTTTTCCCATTGAACGCCTTGAGGGCAAAACGCCTGCTTGACGGGCACAAACTGTCGCAAAAGACTGCTGAAATTGGAGCCAGACATGCGCAGAAGGATTGTCTGATGGAGCCAGAGGAGGAGCCGCGAAAATGAGCAGAGTCGAGCTTCCAATCAAACGCTTTATGTAAAATCAACTACGCCCCCCGAACTACTCAGCATGCGTTTGCTGTCATATCAACACAAATGGATGTAATAACGTTAACAAATATGAGGGTTTTATATATTCAATCGCGCCAGCTCCAGGCCACAGCGCATAACTTACTCGCGGCGTCGCGGGCTGATTCCGGCTCGCATGCGGCAGCGCCTGCTCGTTTGGCCGCCGCATCTGGCTCGACTGACTCGGACTGGAATCGGGCAGTGAGTCCAGGCATCCGGAGTAGGTCCAGCAGAGGTAGTCAGTCTGAGCTCTAAGAGATAAGTCTCCGGCAGGCGAGAATCTAGCCGGAACTGTGTTTTGCTATCTGGGTGGCTAGGCGTGTATCAGCAAACTAATAAAGCCCGAAAAAAGCCCTGAACTTAGCGAATAAACAGTGTTCCACCAGGATCATGTATGTCAGAAACTATAGTTTACTGCTGAACTCATTTTGTCATGGTAAAATAACACAGAAATCGAATAATAACATTTCAGTCTACTTCAGTCTCCTGCCGAAGCTCAGACGCCGCGCTTTGAGAAACTGTCAATCACAGCTGTCAATCACAATGACACGCCCAGCATTAAATTACTGCTAAAAACAAACTGTTTACAAAAATGAAGATCTGCACCTATTTCAGCACAATAACCAGTGCCTTAATCCACCAGAACCATCTTTCGGGACATTTTATTGCAAGTGTAATATTTTTTTTTATTTGGGCTCAAGTCTCCTTCATTAACACGGAGGAGGCGGGCTTTATGACTTGTACTGCAGCCAGCCCCCAGGGGGCGATCTAACGGCCGAAACCTTCACTCAAACGTAGGCTTGCGGCACACTTGATATATATGCAGGGGTAAGGAAAATATGTCTCAAAGAAATCCCGTTATCACAAGAAAATACATTTTATAACAGAACTGAGTGAGCAAAAGAGACACAGAGCGCTCACCGGCCCTGCACGCACTGCTTGACATGAATCTGTTAACGATATAACTGTGCTGTTCTCACGGGTGCTGTCTGATATTGTACTGATGATTTTGACATGTACTGTACCTTATTATCTGCATACGTCATGTTAATAGCCATACCGGTCTTTTTATGAGTAGCGATGTTAGTTTAGTCAGTGCAAGCCCGTTTGCGATGGTGTACGTGGTGTTCAATTTGACATATAGCTGCCACTTGCACGGCGGACAGCATCTGGCGATTATATGAAGGATTAAACTGAAGCTCTCGTGCTTGATGTGGCAAACAGTTACCTGAAAACTCCATCCCACAGACTTTTCACAGCGGACTTGAAGCCAACGGAAGTCTTTTATCCACTCTTGGAAAAGTGTAGATGGTGGATTAACATTCAGCACATGATCACTAGTAAGCCGTGTCATTACTTGTAACTTTAGATGTCATGGTTTCTAAAACTAAATCTGTCAGTGTTATCTTCATTCTCATCTTCAGCGCTTTACAGTTTTCGCAGTAGTAGCTCTCTAAGTCACCCCAAGCCAGAAGGCGCTGACTGAGTGATTGACAGCTGATATTAACCAATCATTCGCATTCAGTGCTAGAGCAGTGGTGGGCCAATAAGAAGAGCGCGAAGGCGGGGCAAGCATTACGGACTTGGCTTTACTGCAGCAAGTTGACATGACAACTGTTTTAAACCATTCCGGAGTGCTGCGTTTCCCATTTCAAGTGCAGACAAAGAGCTTAGAGAGGAATTCTGCATGAATGTCTCCTGAATCTGCGCATGTGGTGAACATTTTGCAGTAAAAACTGGTCGCACACAACAATTTTAGGCACTCGCAGAAATGCTCCCAAATATATTTTGAGGTCGCATAGATAAAATTTTGGGGGCATATGCGACCAAAACGGTCGCAATTTCGAGCCCTGTTTAAGCAATATTTGTTTTGGATTGTCTCCAGAATAAACCACTGTTATACAACGACTTGCCTAATTACCCTAACTTTACCCTAATTAACCTAGTGAAGCCTTTAAATGTCACTTTAAGCTGAATAGAAGTATCTTGAAAAATATCTAGTCAAATAATATGTGGTCATCATGACAAAGAAAAAAGAAATCAGTAATTAAATATGAGCTATTAAAACTATTATGTTCAGAAATGTGTTGAATAAATCTCTCTGTTAAACAGAAACTGTGAAAAAGATATATGGGGGGCTAATAATTCTGACTTCAGCTGTATATATTGCTGCTGTCTGGTAAGTTCTCCTTTTATCCCTTATATGTAAGTCTAAATCAATAAATGTAATGTACCAGTGAGCATGGTGATGAGGGGTAAAGACTGCTCCTCAGCCGAGCCCCAGTATCCCGCTTCTCCCAGCAGGTTTCTCTCCAAAACCTGGTTATAAAGCTCCTCTATCCAGGCCTGAGACAAGACCACCAGAACCCCACTGCTCTGAATCTGACGCACAAACTCCTTCTGCAAAGCGAATGAACCATGATCACACAAATATGTCACCACAGCGGAATGAACCGCCAACTATTCTAGCATATGTTTTACGTAGCCGATGCCCTTCCAGCTGCAACCCATCGCCACACCGCAAGAAGGTCGCTGGTTTGAGTCCCAGTTGGGTCAGTTGGTATTTCTATGTGGAGTTTGCATGTTCTCCCCGTGTTGGTGTGGGTTTCCTCTGGGTGCTCCGTATTCCCTCACAGTCCAAACACATGCGCTATAGCGGAATTGGATGAACTAGATTGGCTGTGGTATTTGAGTGAGTGTGTGTGTGTGTGTGTGTGTGTGTGAGAGAGAATGAGAGTGTATGGGTGTTTCCCAGTACTGGGTTGCAGCTGAAGTCGACTACTCCAGCATATGTTTAATAAGAGACTAAGCTGAAGGAAAATTAATGAATAAATGAATGAATTTAACATAGAATTAATACCATTTCAAAATGCAACTCACGCATAACATCTGAGATAACATGTATTTGAACGTTTAATTAACAATTAAATTAAAATGATGTAACTAGCAGCTGATACAAGCTCTGAAAATTAGCGTTTTAAAACTGGTAACCAGATGATTGTAAAAAATGCATGGCAAAATAATGCAAGAAATACCAGAGACACCAGAGCAGACGTGGGCTTTCTGTGGTAATAGTCACAGCAGCACAGCTTGAGGTTGAGCAGGAGAGCATAATAGGAGACCAGGTACAATCCGTCTGCGTTCATTAGAGCCTGACAGTTCAGGTTTTCATTGCCCTCGAAACCTGGAGAATGAACCCCACCTATAAGAGCACACAATAACATCACATTACACACACGCACACACACACACACACACGCACACACACTACACAGTTAACTAACAATAATAGCATTAATAGGGATTAGTGGCAGTTTTTGAAATATTAAAGAAATAGTTTGCCAAAAAAAAATGTTCTATCATCATTTAATTGTATTGACTTATTTGCAATGTACAGCTGAAATCAAAATGAGCATCCCTCTTGTCAAATTTTAAATATTTTAAAAATACTTTTGTAATTGTTTATTAGTTGAGAAGTTATTTCAGCACATTTCTAAACATAATAGTTTTAATAACTCATCTCTAATAACTGATTTATTTTCTCTTTGTCATGATGACAGCACATAATATCTGACCAGATATTCTTCAAAACACTAGTATTTAGCTTAAAGTGACATTTAAAGGCTTAACTAGGGTAATTAGGCAAGTTAATCATTGTATAATGATGGTTTGTTCTGTAAACAATCAAAAAAACATTGCTTTAGGGTGGCTAATTAAATCAACACAGGCTCATTGTGAATACGTACCCCAGTATACTTTTCTGGAGAGCTTGTATTATGTAGCCAGTGGTACGTATGGCTGCATTATTTCATTAAAATGAATGCTACGTTTCTTTCCGCCACCTGACGCCACCTGTTTCTTTCCGCGCTACCAGCTGACTGCTTACGTCTGTATGGACGGCTGGCTTTTCCACCGTTACGTTTGCCCAGTGGTTTACAGCAGGGGTTCCCAAACTTTTCAGCCCGCGACCCCCAAAATAAGAATGCCAGTGACTCGCGACCCCCAATATCCTCTGAGGTGGTTATAAATACAGAAACCTTGCATGCAATGACGCACACACACCAATTAAATTTGTGTCCGTGCTTAAAATGTGCCAGAAACTATAACCTGATGTTATAAAATCAAAATGCATCTGACGCTATTGCTGCCTTTAATATAATGTAATTACCCCAGGGGTCGCAATCCAATAGAACTAGTAACTATAAGCTACTATAGTAACTACATAGTATATAGTAACTGTAAACGACTATTTTTATTTTCAGTATAGTTATGGATAAAATATGTTAATTCTTATGGTTTAATAAAAATAAATAGATTTTTGGAAATCACCAGGCGACCCCCCTTCATTGCCCCGCGACACCTCGGGGGGTCCCGACCCCCACTTTGAGAACCACTGGTTTACAGCATATGTCGGCGGACTTAGGAGGCGGAGTGAAGTTGACCACGATGACGGGGTTTGAGTCCAGCAAAGAACGATTTCAGAAAGCAGGTAAAACAAAAACATAAGCCAAAAAAACAAGTAAATAACAGGGTGAAAACGTGGGAAAAAATCAGGTGGCGGTGAGGGCTTTTCTTTTTATGGATTGCTTTAAAAACCATATCGGTTAAGTTTAGGTAAGGGAATAGATGGGTCGTTCAGTCAGTCGACAGCTGTCTCTGGTAGATTTATGCGAGAAGAGCAGGCACGAATGGCACTCACATGACAAATTTGAGATCTGAAAAAGCGCACACAGCAGCCTCTGGTGAATTTACGAAAATAAAAACTGCAAAACAACGTATCTCCTGCGGCGTATTTTGCGCTGTCCGGAAACGTATACAGGGGTACGTATCCACAATGAGCCTGGGATGAATAATATTTGAATAACCTTAAAATCACCTTTAAACAATTGAAAAATGCTTTAATTCTAGCCGAAATAAAACAATTAAGACTTTCTCCAGAAGAAAAAATATTATAGGAAATACTGTGAAAAATTCCTGAACCTGTCAAACATTGTTTGGGAAATATTTGACAGAATAAATTCACAAGGGGGGCTAATACTTGTGACTGCGCAAGGACTATTACCTGCTTGTAGTCCCGAGCAGAAGGTGGAGGAGAAGTTCTGCAGGGTCGCATCTACATCTGTGGTGCTGTGCAGTCCCAGCAGACGGGGCAGAAGTGTGGCTAGAGACTGCACAAAGAGCCTTGCGCTCTGTTGGTCCGCCTCCTGGTTCTTCAGCAGCTTTAAAGACAAAGCTGCAGTCCGCAGTGTACGGTGGCCGGGACAGTCCCGCGGCGTCTGCTCCTCATCAGCCAATGAGCAGTTATCAGAGCCCATATCGGATACATCAGACCGTCCGGAGTCCTTTTCTGCAGCCATGGAGTACTGATCACAGGAGTCAAACTCTGTTCTGGACAGCTCCTGCTCGTCGGCACTGAAGTTACTCTCGCTGTATCGGGAGCCATGCGAACGCGTCCGGGACTCCACCGATAAGAAGTTGGTGATGTCAGGATAGGCTAGGCCATGGCTGCGTTGCACTACGTCAGGAGGAGCCGTAGAGGATGAGATTTCAGGTGCGACACACTCCTGACGAGATCCACAGGTAGGCGAAGGTAGTCGCGGTTCGTCCCCGCAATCTTCAGGAGTGGTCCTCCCCATATCCCCTTCAAGCGTAGTCTGCCCTACATCCCCTTCCAAAGTGGTCTGGCCTGTGTCGGTGGTGACGCTAATGCTAATGTCAGGGCTGCGTTCGGTAATGCTCGCCTCCCATGCAGCGTTTTCGGATGAGAGCACTCGCCGCTGCCAGCGGAAGTCCGCTTCGTTGACTTCCACAGACTCACGCATTGACTCCGCCCCTTCCTTGAGCTCCTCCAATCGGCGCAGCAGCATGCGGGTCTGGTCCTGCTGCAGGCCACGCCCCTGACTGAGCTCATCCAAGGCACCTAATAGGGCCCCGGCGCAGGAGACGGAGGAGTAACAGGCCTCAATCCCACCCTTCATACACGCTTCTGTGATGCCATCCATTACGCTGGGAAATTAGGAAAGACGAATCACTCATTGGAGACACACAACAGATTTTTAAGATCTCCAATATAGTAACTAGATCATCACTGAATTTTATACAAAACATCTTACAGTTTGAGAAGATCGAGATGTGATTTCCTTTTGGAGAAAGACCTCTTTCTCGTCTCGTGTTCAATCACGCATGGACCGGCGAGGTCAAACAAGCGCTGGGGGCTTCCCACAATCTGGGAGAATGAGGGAAAACAACAACATGCTTATTAGAAGAGTTAACCTGTTTATTTTAATATCACTGCATGAATAAATGATCTGAAAACATAGCTAATAAAACTAGCATTTATATAGGGAGATGTAATATATCGTAAGAAATATCGTTATCGCGATACTCAACACAACATCGCATATTTTTCCAGACTCCCAAGGTTTAAATAGAGCATTTCGAGGGATGTACACAATAACAATGGTCCCAACGTATTTTCCAAAAATCCAAAAAGAGCCACATATTGATAAATAATGCTGTTATAGCTGTTTTAACATTAAAGGGTCACGAAACACCAAAACACATTTTTTGAGCTGTTGACAGTCGTATATGTGTCCCACACTGCTAAAAACACTATTAGGACACCTATATTTCACTAAAAAGTGTAAATTGGTTGTTTTTGCATTATTTCAAGCAAATTCGTACTTCCGGTTTGAAACAAATTTTTGAAGTTGCGTCACGGTCATGACATAATAGCGTGTATTCCAGCGTGCAGACTGGACGTCTGTGCCAGAGCGAGTCTTATTACGTCTTACAGTGTGCTGCATTAATGCATGAGTAAAGCTTGCTTCAAACCAATCAGCGCGCTCTATTGTGCAACTTCATTAATATTCATTACTATCACCGTGTTTTCAGGACAGAGACGCCACGTTGTGTTGGCAAAACAAGCGTGAAGTGTTGCTTTTATAGTTTGCTGCAGTTAGGTTTCGTTTTCGTTTTCTCTCTGTGAGAGCTCAGCTGGAGTCACGTGTGGATTAACAGTGTACGCGACGCTCGACAACAATAACTTACGTGTTTAAGGAGGATTATTGTTTACCTGAGAGCTGTTCTCATCTGCAAACGCTGAGATCCGGATTCGCTTGTAGTCTTCTCTTCATAAAGACCCGGCTCTAGTTGCTGGTGATTGTCCTGTCTCTACAGATTTGGTAAGTGAGCGACCAGCGCTCTTTGTTTATTCAGTTTGTTCATATCTAATAAACTATTGCACAGAGTGTAAACACGTTAGCACCACAACCAAACTTTAACCTCGTGTAGGGTTTTTACCGCATTTTGTGACCGGAATAACACGCGCGGCTTTCTGACGCTACCTGCCGTGTGCATCTAAGTTTCTGGGAAATGCGGAGTTTTTTTTTCTCTCATTCGCCGTGCGGTATCAAACATTGCATGAAAAATACACGCTTAGAGCAGATCCTCGAATCAAATATCTCGTGTGTCGCGAGGGGCATGAATGAATTCCCTGAATGAAAGAGCCAAACTGCAGTTAAAGTCCACCATTTAATAATTTGTCAAATAATTCGACTACAGATGTCCATGTAGGTTAAACACCATCACTTTCTGCTGTATGTGTATGTGTGTGTGTGTATTTTGACTCTGAAACTCGCGCGTGCCCAAATAGACACTCCCACACCATCCCACTTTTCTTCCTCCGACACTCCCCCCTAAACAGAGCTGGACACGCCCACTTTTCTGACTTTTTCCAAAGAAGAGGTGTGAAAACACCCTGCTGAAACGAGGGGGTTTCATGGCCCTTTAAGTTATGATTGAATTGCCTCTTATGACATCAACACACTGAAATGGTCCATAGCTGAATGTAGCGAGTCTACTGATGCCACGTCGCCCTGGTCACAAATTCACCCCAGCTGGAACCTCATCAGCACCGGATCGCTCACAGCTGGACCTCATCAGCCAGAGAGAGATATAAGCCAGCCCCACACAGGAGGAAGATGAGCTTCATTTACACATGACTCCCTGTGCTAACGCTTGTCTCTCTCTCTGTTTCTCCCACAGCGGACTCCAGCTCGTGAACGATCCGACAACCGAACTCTCACCATCCTTCACATTCTCCCCGGAGCACTTGAGCACCAACACTACGAAGAGCACCGTATTTGCACCTATCACCTTTGTAAATAAAGCACCCTCCGGGGGAATTGTTTGTAACTTACGTCACTGTGTTTGTGTTTTCCCTCTGCCTCGCTACATGTATTTGAGTCAAAAGTTGTCCTACACTCACAAACAATATATCAAAGCCAATAATATTTCTTCAGCTCTCAGATGACCTATAAATCTCATTTTCCCCAAAAAAATTAAGGGTCAATAAATATGTAAACTATTAATTGACATAATGTACACTTTTTTACTTAATTGTGTTGTAAGCAGTAGGGCTGCACAATATATCGCAAAACTATCGTTATCACGATAAAAGTATCGTCATTGCAATAAACAAACATCTGTGATAAATTACATTTGCTTTATGCATTGGTTGTTTATCTAAATCAGATTGGACCTTACTATCTGTATCTACAACTCCCGAACCACCTCCCCACTCCCCCAAGTCAGTACAATAATAGCATTTTTATAAGGAAACGTCATATCGTAAGAAATATCGTTATCGCAATACTCATTAACAACATTGCATATTTTTCTAGATTGTTCAGTAGTTGTATTTCAGCCAAATAATGTCCTATCATAACTATCCTATCATTAATTGACCAAATTTAAAGTTAGAAAAGGTACTCAATTGTGTTATATACAGTAGGGCTGCACAATATATCGCAAAAGTATCGTTATCATGATAAAAGTACTGCAGACATCTGTGATCAATTACTTATGTTACGTTATGCACTGGAGGCGACGCAGTAGCGCAGTAGGTAGTGATAACATATCGTTATCATGAAATTTAACGGGATGATTTTATCGGAATGTAATCTGCTGGTACAATATTTAACTTTAGTTTGGAGTGTCGTAGGCTTATTTTTTTTACCTCTTTTATAATTGTAATGGCCTCCATTCTGTGCTGGACAACACAATAGCAATAGCAATACACCTTTTTCTTGGAATGCAAAATTACCCATGATGCTTTGCGTGTATGCGCAAGGAGAATGCGAAGAACTTCCGGTCGGCAGCTGATGCGTGTAAACAGTCACATTTGGACAGCTTTGAAACGATAGTTTTAATCTATTTTACCTGCTTTTATCCTCTTTGAACTAACACTGTTGTCCATCAGCAGCATCTCCTGGACTGATCATTTACAGAAATGCGATCTAATATGATAGAAAACAGCTGCTGTGAGGCGTTTTCCCCTCGTTGTCAGACGGCATCTTCTGCAGTTTAAATGAAGCCTCGTCATCGCTAAAGCCAACATTTTCTCTTTATTTCAAATATATAACCAGCCCAAACAAATGTAGTTCACCAAAATGTGACACACACACGCAGCCTGTACTGTGCCACTGACACACTGATTTAATAATGGTGACAAAGTGAAAATATAGGCTAGTGTCATTTCGAAATGACAGAAAAACACAAACCGTGGTGAAAACAACACACAAAATAAAACACAAACGGCTCGCGATTAGAATGAACAGCAAATCAGCAGCAGAGGATCAATAACAGACTTTTATTGCTCATTTTTGTAAATTGCACGACTTTCATACCTGTTAAGTTTCATGCCAGTACTCTGGTTTGCTCTCTGTGTGTGTGTGTGTGTGTGTGTGTGTGTGTGTGTGTGTGTGTGTGTGTGTGTGTGTGTGTGTGTGTGTGTGTGTGTCTGTGTGTGTTAAAGAGCCGCTGAGCTAACAGCTGACAGGCCGGGAACGCACACACACTGTATTTCTGACGGCAGACACGTGAACTAGGAGAACGTTTTTCTCGTATTTCTGACGCGCTTGAACCACATGTGACAGATTATAACGGCTTTAACAGACACATTTCTAAGTTGTGTGTCACAAAAACACTCTGTTATCCATTGAAACCCATTTTCGGAGCGCAAATTACCAGTTGTACACGCTGTAAACAGAAGTTTTTAGCATTCTACCAGAAGAAGCTGGTCGCTATGGCGCCCTCCATGCAGCAGCCATGAAAAAGGTCTATAGCATTCTCAATATCATTGATATTGCATATTATATATTTTCCCAGTATCATGCAGCCCTAAAATATCATTATCAGGATATTTTTATCATATCGCCCAGCCCTATATAAAACCTGCTAATACAGTATTTAACTTCAGTTTAGTGTGTCGTATGATCATTCTTTACCTCTTTCATAATCTTAATGGCCTCCACTCTGTGTTGGGGTGGCGGGTAGAGCAGAATACGGTGGTACAGAGACTGCAAAACAGGTTTCATGGACTCGACACAGCCTACCAGACGCACCAACTCTGCAGCCACATAGCAGATGGTCCGGACCACCGGCCCAATCATAAGCGGAGCACTAGAGGAGCATCCCGAACCCCTGCCCTGATCCAGAACCGCTGACCCCGGGGCTGATACTGAGTCCTGACACTGAGCGCCATGAGCAGAGGTGATGCTCTTATCACTCGCTGGGTTTCCCATTATCACCACCAGGGTGGGACATAACTGCTTCCTGTGAGATGCAGAAATAGGCTCTTCTCAGAGTGAGTTTTTCCTTGAAACAAGCAAAATAATCTGCCAGTGGGTAAGCTAAATATTGTAATGTCAAAAGAAAAAACAAGATTACCCCATTAATTACAGATAAAGTGTTAGTTGAGCTACTTTAACTAGTTAAAATGCCTACACTGACAGTATGCAGTGTGCAGTGGAAATAAAGAAGTGTCTCACCAGACTAGGTCAGTGAAGTTTCGCTGCAGGTGCATTGTGGGAGGACAGCTGCTGAGCATGGACAAAATAGACTCCAGGTACAACAGCTGCAGCAGCTGGTTTTCACTAAAATAAAAAATAATAAGATTAATTTTAAAATATAAGCAAACTTGTATTAAATAGAGTGAAAAATTAAATAGCAAACATTATTAAATAAAACAAAGTAAAAATGTTTAATAAAATAAAGCAAACAATTAAATAAAGCAATAAACTAAATAGCAAAAAATAAAATAGCCAAAAAAATTATGTAAAATAAAACAAATAAATAAAAGCAAACAATTAAAAGCAAAAGATAAAATAAAAAATTTAATAGCAAAAAATTTTATAAAACAAATCAAAACATAAATAAAATAAAGCAAACATTTTAATAAAGCAAAATGTAAATAAAAAAAGTTAAATTTAAATTAAATAATAAAAAATTAAATAAAGCAAAAAACAAAGCAAACAATTAATTTAAATTAAATACCAAAAATTTTATTGCAAAAAATGTATTAAATAAAACAAAAAATAAAGCAGAAATAAAAAAGCAAGAAAATAAATGTAATTAAATAGCAAAAAGTTATAAAAAATAAAATAATAAAAATAAAATAAAGCAAAAATAAAACAAAGAAATAAAAAAATAATTAAATTAAATACCAAAGATTTTAATTGCAAAAAAATTAAATAAAGCAAGAAAATAAATGTAATTAAATAGCAAAAGAAATTTATTAAACAAAAAATTAAGCAAAAAATGTAATAAAATAAAGCTAAAAAATAAATAAAGCAAAGCATATATTTAAATTTAAATATAAAAATAAAAAATGAAGTTAAAATAAAATAGCAAAAAATAAAGGAAAAAATAAAACAAAATATTTAGTAATTCAATTAAAAAATACAGAAATATCCAAAAGAAAAGAACGTCTCTCTTATTACACTAATAAATCACATTCTGATTTCATTATCAGAGGAGTGAGCTTCAAAACCATTAAAGTATGTTTGAGATACAGTATGACTGTTTCTGACATAAATGCAATACTATTAGTCGATACTAATAAAAAATTAATTGTTTCTTTACAGTAAAAGTGATGCAAAGCAAACACTGCATATAACAGTAATCAATAATCTTGAGTCTAAAAGTATATAATGAGTAGCTGATAATATGTAACGCTTACTTTGAGACGGACTCCAGTTTGTCACAGAAAACAGTGAGGACCATGACAACATCTTCATACAGCGCCTCAGTACTGGGAGAGACATCTGAAAACATACATACATGCATAAACATACTTTACCATTAACTGACGCCAAAATGCATCATAGCCAAGATAAACAAAATCAGTTATTAGAAATTGGGGAAAACTTATTCAGAGGGGCTAATAAATCTGACTTCAACTGTAGGAATCTAATAAGTAGACTTCAGAACGGAGCCACTATACCCACTGTTATCTTTATTGATGGTTAAATATAGTAGTTGTCCTTTTATCAGCGAAATGCAAATGATATAACGGACAGTTCAGTGGATGAGCCGTATTGAAAACCTAGTCTTTCTTTGCTTGGCCGTAGACATGTTTTCAGTTTTGATTGGTTCATCAGCATACCTTTGCGCTGGTGCACAGGAATACACTGTTCTTCACCATCAACATCCTGTAAAGATACAAACACACTCATTACAATAACAATACAATCTAAATAATACAATCTGATGATGCTTGAAATACTAAAAAAGTCCTAGACATATACTTTATAATAGTGGATTTAATGTGTTAACTTTAGTTTTTACACGGCTGATTCCCAGATAACAACTGCTAAATAACCTAGACTCATGTGGAAACTTTGAATAATCTTGAGGGTCAGTGAATAAATTCACATTTATGTAATTACATCCACAATCATACAGTTTGTATCTGCTTGTCTGTCATGTTTTGACTTTTTTTGACTGTCTGAAAAATGCGCAGGTTAGTGTATACTCCATTCAGCCAGTTACGTTTCTATCAGTTTTGTGTTTAATTAAAGAATTCATAAACTATTATGGCTCAGAACAATGTTTTGTGTCTAATGTCTATGTTTTGTAGCAAGTAGCAGTGTAACAAACCGGATAAAGTATATTCAGGAGGGTTGTTTTTGCAGATTAAACCGTTTCAATAAACAAATGAGACCTTATTGTAAATTATGTGTGCACAGAATCCCACCACTGACATTCTGTATAGACATGCGTTTGTTTTTATTGAAGCTCAGTTGAAGTCTTATAGCACGTGACTCACTGTGTTTTCTTGTCTATGGCGTAGCTGTAGAGTGAGGTCTCCAAGAATCTGGCTGAGAGTGGCTCTGACCGCCGTGTTGATACTGCGCTGATGACAACTGGATATATACGTCTCTATACATACCTAGAGAAACAACAACACAGATTTTCAGCAAATCCTAATGACAAATCTTAAAAAGTTAGCCTCATTTACAGTGGAGTACAGAGATTATATTGAGTATGTGGAGTACAGAGAAGATAGTCTGCATGAACCGGAAGCTGCGACCGTTTATTTTTTTCCATATTGAGACGCAGTTCCTAGAGAAACGGAATATTAAATGAGAAAACAGTGGGTGTGGCTTGTTTTTTCTGCTGCGAGCTGATTGGATGTAGTAAAGTAGGCATTTCATAAATATGGGGTAATGTGTTTGCAGAGAGTTATTACAACAGACTCCTCCTCCAACTCATTCACACACACACACACACACACACACACACACACTCGCATTCATACACAACGGGTAATTTAGTTTAATCAATTCCCTTATAGCGCATGTGTTTGGACTGTGGGGGAAACCAGAGCACCAGGAAGAAACCCACACAAACACGGGCAGAACATGCAAACTCCACACAGAAAACTGACCCAACTGGGACTTGAACCAGGGAGCTTCTTGCTGTAAGGGGACAGTGCTAACCACTGAGCCACCATGCTACCATTGGGTAAGCAAAATAATGTTCTTTCAAAGCAAAAATCTGATTATTTTGCATCTCAGTAGAATCTACAAGTGAGCAAACAGAGTGACCGCCGAGCATCTGCTGTTGAGCGGCTCATGGAAGAGGGACTGAAGACGTGGCATCTGTGAACACTGACACTTGTAACCATAGCAACACACCGTTGATAAGAGGAAAATATTTAGAGGGTTCATTGTGTGCCACTGAGCCGTACACCTTTATTAATAATAATAATAACAAAAAATCTTGCATTATAGGAACAAAGTCCGCTTGAAATCCAAATTTACAGTGTTTCTTTTGCTAGTGCACATTGATATTCCTAAGGTGAATAATCAACCCTTTAACTGCCTGCTCGACCAAATGGTTGACCATATTTTGACAGACTATATTTTACTGAGAGGAGGAAATAACTTAACTAAACCTGATTGAGCCATCTATACCATCTGGAAGTATGTTATGCCAAAAAAAATCCACTAGTTGTCACTAACGCAAGCAACTGCACTCGTCACAACATTGCTTTTACCATTGAAGCAGGGGCATTGCTAGACATAAAGCTCTACTGGGGCACAGCACCCCCTTCAAAAAAATAAAAATAAATTTATATAAATATTTATATATATATATATATATATATATATATATATATCTTTATTTTTTATATATTGACTATATATATATATATATATATATATATATATATATATAAAACAAAAAATATATAATTATAAATAAATAACAGTATTGTTGTTATTATACAATTATTATTCTAAGTAAATAACAGAAATTAATCCTAAATATAACTGGAAAACAATCTGAAGACGGTTACGGGTCTTAATACGGCATCCGGCATACGAAAATCTTTCAATATGCACTTATCGCGCAGCCCTACCTCAAATGCAATGTGTGTCTGGGTAGTTTATGTGTCTGCTGTGTGACTGGACGTGCTCTGCTTTAGCTCAATACTTATGTCCTGATCCCTGTGTGAAAAACAGGAGACATCTGGCACAACCAGACCCCTTCACACATGATGATGATGATGATGATGTGCTTTTATGAGCTGTTCATGGCCACCAGAACAGAGTTAGACACACAAACACCAGGAGAAACCCTATCAGTCAAGCAGAGCGAGAGCTCATCGCTTTGAAGGAAACTCTTTGATACTAGTGTACAGTATATGCAATTTAGTGGTTAGCACTGTCACCTCACAGCAAGAAGGTCACTGGTTTGAGTCCCAGCTAGGTCAGTTGGCATTTCTGTGTGGAGTTTGCATGTTCTCCCCATGTTGGCGTGGGTTTCCTCCGGGTGCTCCGGTTTCCCCCACAGTCCAAACACATGCACTATAGGGGAATTGATCAACTAAATTGGCCGTAGACTAAGAGTGTGTGTGTGAATATGAGAGTGTACAGATGTTTCCCAGTACTGGGTTGCAGCTGGAAGGGCATCCGAAGGAAAATGAATAACTGGTATGAAAATAAATCATGTAGAAAATAACAAACGTAATGGTCCTGCAACGAAGATCTCAGCAGGTTTTGTGGATCAAGTGTGAAGCAAACTCTGCAGTGTCCTCATTAAAGTAGCATTACAGCGCAGCACTCTTTAAGAATAGACGCCCTTTGACAAGGACTTCAATTAGAGTCTTGCCAAATTCACTTTAGATTAGTAGTTTCAATTTGCTCTTTCATTTAGTCGGTCAATGGCCAAAAACGTTGCTCTTACCTCAGCAATTTTCAAGATGTTGCGGCCAGTGATCTCGAAGGTCGAGGAGTAGGTGACGCAAAGTAGGACCTACAACACAAAACATGATGTTATTTTAAACATTGCTCATTTCATTTTGGAGGTCTCCTTCAACAGGTTTATATTAATACACGGTTAAAAACATGACATTCCCTAATTTTATGCAGCATCAGCTTTTTCCTCTCAGTGTATGAGACAGTTGGTTCAAGAATCCACTTTCTAAACCCCGCCTTTCTGAGAGCCTACTCTGCTCTGGTCTACCATATAACCGTACTCTGCTCTGATCAAATTGATATAGTTTGTTGTTATTGGTCAGAAAGCTTCATATTCTGTGTTGAATGGTCAGATAACCTTATTCTGCTCTGATTGGTCAGTTGTCCCTCCATATGTTCTAGTTGGTCAGATAACCATACTCTGCTCTGATTGGTCAAATGGACCATCTTTTTGTTGAAATGGGTCAGAAAGCTCTATACTCTGATTTGATTGGCCTGATTACCCTATTCTGTTTTGATTGATCAGTTGGCCCTCTTTTGCTATGATTGGTTAGATAACCCTATTATGCTCTGATTGGTCTGATTACACCACTCTGCTCTGGTTGGTCAGATTGCCTTACTTTGTTCTAGTTGATGATAAGGCTGTACTCTGCTGATTGGCCAGCTTACCCTACTCTCCACTGACTGGTCAAATGGACCTATTTCTTTCTAATTGGTCAGAAGGCCTATGCTCTGATTGCACAGGATAACCATACTCTGCCCTGATTGGTCAAATGAACCCCTTTTGTTGTAATTGGTCAGAAAGCTCTATACTCTGGTAAGATAACCCTACTATGCTCTGATTGGTCCGATTACACCACTTTGCTCTGATTGGTCAGCTTTTCCCACTTTGTTTTAGTTGATCATAAGGCTGTACTCAGCTCTGATTGGCCAGATTATCCTACTCTCCTCTTATTGGTAAACTGGACCTACTTTTGTCTAATTGGTCAGATGGCATATGCTCTGATTGGTCAAATGGACACCTTTTGTCGTAATTGATCAGAAAGCTTTATACTGTGCTCTGATTGGCTAAATAACCCTATTTTGTTCTGATTGGTCAGTTGGCCCCACTTTGCTCAGATTGGTCAAATAGCTCTAAACTTTGTACTAATAGGTCAGAAGGCCTTACCCTGCTCTGATTGGCCAGGATTTGTTTTAATTGGTCAGATAACCCTACTATACTTTGATTGCCCTACTTTCTTGTAGTTGATCATAAAGCTGTACTCTGATCTGATTGGCCAGCATACCCTACTCTCCTCTGACTGATCAAATGAACCTACTTTTTTCTAATTGGTCAGAAGGCCTATTCTCTGATTTGTCAAGATAACCATACTCTGCTCTGATTGGTCAAATAACCCCCTTTTTTGTTGTTATTGGTCCGAAAGCTCTAAACTCTGCTCTGACTGGCCAGATAACACTACTTTACTCTGATTGGCCAGATAACCCTACTATGCTTGGATTCGTTAGACTACACCACTCTGATCTGATTGGTCAGATGGCCCACCTTTGTTATAGCTGACCAAAAGGCTCAACTACGCTCTAACTAGTTAGATAACCATACTCTCTACTGATTGGTCACTTTGCCTTCAGTCAGTCGCCTCTACTCTAATCGGTCAGATGACCATGCTCTACTCTGAATAGCCAGATTACCCCACTGTCCACTGACTAGTCAAATGACCCTATTTTTTTCTAAGAGGTCAGAAGGCTTTTTACTCTGCTCTGATTGGCCAAACAACCCTACTGTCTTCTAATTGGTCACTTAGCCTTCCTTTGCTCTGAACAGTCAGTTGGCCCTACTATGCACCAATCAGTCATTTAACCATACCCTGCTCTGATTGGCCACATAACACTACTCTGCTCTGATTGGCCAGATAACCATACTAACGTTTTGATTGGTCAGATTTCATTACAGATTACGCTTCCCCGCTCATGTCAGGAAGCTAACATCCATATCTGAATTTCCTCACCACTTACATACAAAGTTATACAAAAAGTAACTATGGTGTTGGTTTGATACTCAATTACAACACAGCTGCAACTTTTGAGACTTAAAACAGACATCATTTGAGAACCAATACAAACCAGAGACTGGCTTTGAGTAGAAATTATAACTGGTAATACTTACAAGAATCCACAATTGTTTCTTACTTTTGGAAGACAATAGCACCATTTATCTGCATCCAGAGCTTTAAACTCTGCAGGGCTTTTAACATTCACAAACCCCTACATTACACACTACAAGACTATCTGAAAAGGCATAAAAGATCCAGCTGTAACAGGAACGGGAACACACAGTGTCTAGGGAGGTCTGCGTGCCAGTAATGCTGCACATTCATCCAATTACACTGACACTGCATTGATTAATCCTGCTAGAAGCAACAGTTTTTGGACGCTGACTAGCCCAGCTCTTCTTGCAGGCCTTTACATAAACACACACAGACCTTCATAACCTCCACCTGCAGGTCTTCATGGAGGCTCGGCGTCACTCTGACAGCTTCCAGGATTTGACCCAACAGTTGTTTCTCTGGAGCTTCTGCTTCCACCGCGAGAAAACAATCCTCACACAGGATCTTCTGTCAGAGAACAACAGCAGAATACACACATTACAATGCTTTGTTTTAAGTAGAGGATTTCTTCTCTGCAGTCGGCAGAGTCATCAAGGTGATGCTTTAAAAGAAATAAAAGAGCCTGCCAACATTTCACACCAACAATAAACCACTGTGTGAGAAACACTGACAGAATAGCTTTATTTGCAGTGCCGTATTGGTGAAATGTCTATTAAAAGTGTGAAATGTTCAGTAATGAGCGCACCTGCATCCCAGTGAGGGCCGTCTGTGCCAGTTTGGTGTTTTTAGACTCCAGCGCCAACTGAAGAGGGAATAAACACTTCTCTCTGCACAAAAATAGTCCACGCTTAACACTCAAGAGCATGAAAGAAAGAGTTTGCATTGAAGCATTTTAATGTTACCGTCTCCCTCTGATGAATCACAGATTAAAGCATCTGCTGAATGAACAATCATAAATCAAGGAACTCCTTTAAACATATTGTAGAGCTAGGAAAATGAGAAGTACAATTCGGTAATGCATTTTCACTGTGTGCATACAAGCTAGGGCTGCACGATACTGGGGAAATATGTGATGTTGTTGTTGAGTATTAAAATAACGATATCTCTTATGATGTATTATGTCCCTATAAAAATGCTATTTTTTATTAGCTATGCTTTAATATAATTTATTTATTTTATAGTGGTAAAATTTGCAGGTAAACGACATTCTTCAGATCTGATTACTTCTAATTCAGACAAAAAAAAAAAAATTGTGTTGAGGTGCAAACGTTTAGTCTCTAAAACACTGAATGAGTGAAAACCTCAGCAGATATCCTGTCTTTGATTGGCTGCTGTCATCTCGACTCCGCCCATCAGTGTTTATTTTCAGCTCTGGGTTCAGCTTTGAGTCACTGCAGCCAATAGCAGAACAGCAGCTACTGGGGAGGCGGGGCTAAAGATAGTAAGGCCTCATCTGATTAGTTCAGATAAACAACCAATGATTAAAATGAATGTAATTATCACAGGTGTCTGTGATACCTATTCTTCATATACTATTATCGCGATAACAATACTTTTGCGATATAAATGTGCAGCTCTACTATATATAACACAATTTAGTACCTTTTCTAAGTGTAAATTCGGTCAATTTGTTTTTATAGAGTATATTGACCCTATGGAAAGAAATGTTTATGACCCTGAATCAACAAAAATAAGGGTATATTTTTGGAAATGCAGGTTCACTGTGTGCATACAACCTAAAACAGCGATGTCACGAAACTGGAATTCGGTATCAATCGATACAAAAATTTTGAAAACGGCCATTTCCCGCTAATATTTGAGCACTGTTGAGCGCGTTCTTAAACAGCGCTGATTTGCCATTGTGTTTACAAGCTCAACAGAAATGACTGTGATTGGCTGTGAAGGTCATCAGTTCACCGAACTCACCGCTGTTTACTGAGTGTAACCACAGATACAGGGACACTGGAGCGTTTTCAAGCTGCGATTCATCAGTGGATCCCTCATATGTCCGCTTATAGGCAAACCAGCTGATCGACGTGACTTTAAAACGCTCCATTGTTAATGTATCTGTGGTTACACTCAGTAAACAGCGGTGGTTTGGTGAATTCATGACCCTCCCAGCCAATCACAGTCATTTCTGTTGAGCATGTGAACACCATGGCAAATCAGCGCTCAAATGTTCGCGTGAAATGGACGCTTTTAAAATTTCAGTACTGATTGGTATCGAATTCCAGTATCATGACAACCCTAGTTGAAGTGAAATGACATGCAAAACTTAAAAAAACAACAGGAGACATACTTAATAATAGATGCAAGCAATGTAAAAACACATTTAGATAACAAAATTAGTAAAGTTAGAACAAAAAAGAAAAAGAAAATAAATATTCAAACTATTCATAGAAACCACAAAAGTATTGTAATGCTACAAACAAAAACAAAACAACACTGATATAAAAAAAATATCTGTATATGAAAAAAGAATATAACAAATGTGTATATGTGGACTTTCATGGATCTATGGAGCATACAGGTTATGGGAGAGCAATATTGACAATTTAAAGGCTGTATGTGAAATCAAAACACTTGCCTGAGTTTAGATGGTGATATTTTAACTGATCCATTCTGAGCCTGAAGAGTTTCTGCAAAAAACAGAAATGAGACAAAATGGAGGACAAATTATACAAAACACTTTGAAATTTATATAATGTTGTTAATATAATATAAACAGTTGATGATGTTGAACAGATTCAGGAAATTTTGACAGTATTTCCTATAGTAATTATTCTTCTGGAGAAAGTCTTATTTATTTTATTTTGGCAAGAATAAAAGCAGTTATTAATTATTTTAAAGCATTTTAAGGTCAGTATTATTAGCCCCTTTAAGCTATATTAGTTTTGGGTAGTCTCCAGAACAAACCACAGTTATACAATGACTTGCCTTAATTACCCTAACTTTACCCTAATTAACCTATACGCCTTTAAATGTCACTTTAAGCTGAATAGTAGTGTCTTGAAGAATATCTAGTCTAAAATTATTTACTGTCATCATGGCAAAGATAAAATAAATCAGTTATTAGAGATGAGTTATTAAAACTATTATATGCAGAAATGTGTTGAAAAAATACATCTTTCCGTTACACAGAAATTAGGGAAAAAATATACTATAATTCTGGCTTCAACTGTATACAATATATACTGACTATACTATACACACACACACACACACACACACAAACACATCTTAACTATTAATTAAAACGCAAACAAATTAAAATGCTTTAATTTATGAATAAACACACCACATACTTCGAGAACTATTCAAAGTATTACAGACTATCTGGGAGCCATCTATCCTTTCTCTGCCATTGATTGATTCTGTATAAGAGTGGAGCATCAGAGAGCATGAGTGACGGTCTGTGAGAAACACTCAAAGGTCAGTTATGGCACGTTCCTGAAGCTCATAAATCACCATGAACAACTGCTGTAGAGTGAGGTATGATCCACTCATACAGTCTATGAGTTAAACACAGAGCTAGAACACAGATTTAGGAGAACTACAACACTTCACACTTATTTTTAATTTAATCATTACAATATACAAGTCAGAATTATTAGCCCCTCGGAATATTTTTTCAGCACATTTCTAATCATAATAGTTTTAATAACTCGTTTCTAACAACTGATTTATTTTCTCTTTGCCATGATGACAGCACATAATATCAGATTAGATATTATTCAAGACACTAGTACTCAGCTTAAAGTGACATTTAAAGACTTCATTCATTCATTCATTTTCTTTTCGTTTTAGTCTCTTTATTAATCAGGGGTCACCACAGCGGAATGCACCGCCAACTTATCCAACAGATGTTTTACGCAACGGATGCCAGTACACACTCATTTACACACACACACACACACACACACACAATGGACAATTTAGCTTACCCAATTCTCCTATACAGCATGTGTTTGGAATTGTGGGGGAAAAAAGAGCATCTGGAGAAATGCTAACTGACCCCATCGAGACTCGAAGCAGCGACCTTGCTGTGAGGTGACAGCGCTACCCACTGCGCCACCGCGCCGCCCATATTAAAAGACTTAACTAGGTTAATTAGGTTAAAGTTAGGGTAATTAGGCATAATTTGGATCAAAGATTTGGAGTTATAAACATTATTTGTGTGATATTTTGAGCTGAAACTTCACATACACACTCTCTTGGGACATCAAAGACTTATTTTACATCTTGTAAAAAGGGGCATAATAGGTCTAATATAAAAATTAACACATCTTAATAGTATTATTATTATTACATGTGTAAAATATATATATATATATATATATATATATATATATATATATATATATATATATATATATATACATAATAATATAATAATAATATATACACACACACACACATATATATATATATATTATTATTTTTTTTATTTTTTTTTTTAAATACAACAGTTCTGTCTGGTTCTCAAATTTGATTGGCTGATAGCCGTGATATATTAAAGTAATATAAGCACCCGTACAGCCTCTTTACCCTTTGTGTATTACTCTGCCCACATTATTCAGTTGTTATTATTTTTTCCCTTAATGCATGAATATATAATTGTAATATTTTACTCAGAGAGAAAGAAAACGTGAGCAAATTTTGTTCTACCACCACATTGGAGCAGTTGATGTCTAATGATTCTAAGTATCTGATGCTGTGCCTCTCTGACTAACATATTTCATTAAAAAACAGAGTTAAACTAAAAATTAACAAGTCAAAAAACTTTTGTTTCTGCCATAAATAAAGTATATGTTATTGATTATATGCATTAGACATTGCTTTCTTTCTTCGTACTGTATCTTAAGCTAATAAGTAAATACAGTAGAGTAGCAGCTGTTACTATTCAGATTCTAGATAAGCATCCGTGTAAAGCGGACACACACGAGCTCTTGCTGTAAGTTTACATTCTCAAGCATTAAAGCAGTGTTATAACAGGCTGAACTCGCGACTCTGAGCTTTTTAATGCGCATTTGACTGTTTTCTGTCAGGCAGGTGCATCACCATCATCATCCTCCTCATTAGCAATGATCTCTTCCTCATTAGCATAAACAGCCCAAAGTGAGAAGCAGCCGACCAGCATTAGAATTTTGACCTGCTGAAGATAAGAGGATTATAAATGTGGAGTTTTATATTTCACAAATACTGTCGTCTTCATATCGAGTTTTCCACAGAGATGTCGTTAGTCCTGTTCTGAATCAGCCACTATACTGATGCATATGCATTTGTAGCTCCGCCCTCTTTTGAAAAGAACATTTAAATTTAAAGCAACAGTCAGCAAAATGCCACAATTAGGATCATAACCTATATTTGGGTCAGTTTCAGAGAGTTATAAGCATCATTTGTGTGATATTTTGAGCTGAAAGTTTACACACACACACACAATATATATATATATATATATATATATATATATATATATATATATATATATATATATATATAATAGGTCCCCTTTAAAGTCAAGCTATATTCAACACTAATATAAAAACTAACACGTCAAAAAACTTGTGTCTGTCGTAAATAATGTATATGTTATGGGTTATATGTATTAGACATTGCTTTCTTTCTTCGTGCTGTATTTAGGCTAATATGTAAATACAGTAGAGTAACAGCTGTTACTATTCAGATTCTAGATAAACATCCGTGTAAAGCGGACACACACGAGCTCTTGCTGCATGTTTAAATTCTCAAGCATTAAAGCAGAGTTATAACAGGCTGAACTCGCGACTCTGTGCTTTTTAATGCGCATTTAAGTGTTTTCTGTCAGGCAGGTGCATCACCATCATCATCCTCATCCTCTTACCGCACGCCACACCGCAGGAGTCCCGGATCGCCCTGTATTTACTGCCCGACGCCTCCTTCTGAAGCCTCCGCAGAATCTCCTCCATCGCGCTGAAGATTTCTGATGATTTTTGGGCTGAAAATGAGGATTTCAGGCCTCCTGTTTAAAGCTCAGCATCTCTACAGTACAGATGATTCACTTTAACAACACTCACACGTCACGCGCGCGTCACTTATTATTATCAGCAGCGGGAAAGCCGCTAATGTTTACATTGCTAAACAATGCTTCTGACTCAATTAAAGTGAATTTTATCGGGATTCTAGTGTAAGCATCTGATTTGTGAGGTGGGTGCGCAGCTCTTGTGTCCAGCTACTTCCCGTCCGCGAATTAAGGTACGAAAGCTACTATGGTAAAGGGTGAAGTACTTAATATTCATAAGCCACGCCTTCGCTGTTGGAAGGAAATAACACCGCGTCACTGTAATCTGATTAATATTCAACGACTTCCACAGCTGGCATTGGAGGAATGCCCAGCAAATCTAATCTGATCTTATTAATATTCATAAAGAACTCATCTTCGCCGTAGTATAAGCCGGAATACTGTATTATTATCTCCGTCTGTGAGAAAAAAAATAATGTGTTATTAAATATAGACGAGGTGTAAATAAACATTCAATGGCAAAATCTAAAGTAGTGTTTTAACTATTTTTCTGTCCATGTAAAATATTTATGGATCAGTAATTGTTAGACTCAACGAAAAAGCAGTGGGATTATACTTAAACCACTGAGCAGATATCCGTTATTTATTTGATATTAATAATGTTCATTTATTAGTGTGTAAATACGCATGTAAACGTAACAGCTAAACTTAATTTAGTATTTTTGTATTTTTCTGCACGAGTTTATTTAATAATAATAATAATAATAATAATAATAATAATAATAATAATAATAATAATAATTATTAAAACAAATTGTGAACAGTAAAATTTTGAAAATGCTGTGAGACATAGGCTACTTTTAATTTTAGTCCACATACCAATTTAATAGTACAGATAGAGCCAAACTTTATGGTTGGAATGGTAAATAAGCAAGTAAATTTAACAGCAAAACTTAAAGGAGTATTTTTAATTTTTAAGTATAGAGAAAAAATATAGATAAATGATTATAAATTCATATTTATGAGCGACACTTTATGGTTGGAGGGAAACAACGCAGCGTTTTAAAGTGGACTTAACAAAATCTGATCAATATTCATGAGGTAATCTTTCGCCATAGTGTAAGAATGACAGTACTGTATTATTATATAACTCCAGAAGAAAATCAGTGGTTATATGAAATTGGAGTCGGAATAATTGTAATAATTATTTATAATAATAATAGTAATTTAACCGTAATAATGTATGTTAATAGATTTCATTTTTATTTCATAATATCATTCATTCATTAAATTTCTTCTTGGCTTAGTCCCTTTATTAATCCGGGGTTGCCACAGCGGAATGAACCGCTGACTTATCCAGCAAGTTTTTACGCAGCGGATGCCCTTCCAGCTGCAACCCACACATCACACACTAGGGACAATTTAGCCTACCTAATTCACCTGTACCGCATGTCTTTGGACTGAGGGGGAAACCGGAGCACCCGGAGGAAACCCACGTGAACGCAGGGAGAACATGCAAACTCCACACAGAAACGCCAACTGAGCCGAGTCTCGAACCAGCGGCCCAGCAACCTTCTTGCTGTGAGGCGACAGCACTACCTACTGTGCCACTGCTTCGCTTTTTCATAATTACAAGTAATGCAAAATTTTATTTTATGGAACATTTCATAAAAATAAAGCAAAAATAATAAAAGATTAGTTAAAGATTTCACCTTATTTATTTAGTGTAAATTGACCAATGAAATTTAAACTTTGACATTCAGGGATCAACATAATTCTTCAATAATGTATATATATATTTTTTTTTTAATATAATTTTTTTATATTATTATTTATTAACATATATTAATCATTATATTCATTTAATAATACATTTATTAAATATGCAACAAAATTAAAGCAACAAAGAATAAAAATGATTAAAAGCAGATTTAAAAATGTGTTAAACGGGTTTTAAAGGAACGGAAAAATAGAAAATAAAGACATAATAATTTATTATTGTTGTAATTGTGGTTATTATTATTATTATTATTATTATTATTATTATTTATTTTTTTATTTTTTTTATTAGAAGTAACGTTAGTAGTAGGCGGGACTTTTATTTTACGCACTGCAGACCGGATGTTGTTTTCCTGCAGCTACTCAAGTGTCTGCTCGATCGCTGCTGTCACAAACACACACACCGTGATGGCTGCCGTGTGGCGAGCTCGTAAATTTGCCCGCTGCGTCGTCCGCTTCTCTGATCGTGATCTGTAAAATATCAATTGAAAGCACGACCTTAAACGAGACACTAAAAAGAGTCCGCAGAATAAGCTGCTATGGTCAGTAAGAGCCATCTTTCTTAAGATTAGCGACGCTGTTTTAGCATTAGCGTGTTAGCAGTCATGACGTGTAATAATCCTGTCACACACATTCGAGTTGTTTTCAATAGATAACAGTTTTAAATCAATATTTAATCGCGTGTGCATGTAAAACATTTATGCATAGTGAAAATTATAGATAATTTGTGAGTGTATTTTATTTAGGTAGTTTATAGTTGTGCAAAATCATAAAGCAGCTGCACTTCTGTTTGGATATAGTGAATATTAATTACGTTTTATGTTTATTATTTGATGTTCTATGAGTTTAGTTTGTTGTGTGTTGTTTACTGGTAATGAAAGCACGTGCTCTCTCTTCTAGCCTCTGATTGGCCGGTCTTAGTTTCCACACCAAACATGGACGTGGTTATAGTTGTTAAGATTTATGTCATCTGCGTCACTTCTGTTTGAACTGTATGCGAGAGCTTTGATCCACTTAATATATTAATATCTAAGCTCGGGTTACTGATTCTGTGTTATTCCTAGGCTGAAAGCAACCAAAATACAGATGGCGCTGTTGAAGAAGGAGAAGATGAGAATACTGGGGACTCTAATCTGCAAGTTAGTGAACCGAGTCTCCTCATTATTCATTTATTTTTAAATATGACGTAAGGTCAAAGTTGTCAATGTCTTTATGAAGTAAATATGGAAGTAATACATGTTTTTATTTGCGTATTTCAGTATTCTAAGGTGAATCCGTTATACTAATTAGTTTAATTTTTCATTTGTTTATGTATTTTTCAGGATTTTCTTGGCTAAAATAAAACTTCGTAATTAAAAATTATGTTCAATTAAATGAAAAAAAAAAGAGTAAGTACGTACACAAGTTGTAATTGTTACCGTTGTAATTGTCACCGTTCATTATCAGTGTTATATTTAAAAAATAAATTCTTATCAAAGTGTTTGTATTTTTAGTCAGCTATATTTTTCATACAAATCTAAAATGGACACATTTCAAATAGTGTTTTTGCTGAGATGGCCAGTCAATTGGAGGAAACATGAATTATTTTTTATATTACATAATGTATAGATGTAGTTTTGAGTTGTGATTACGCAATGACGTCATCACGCAAATAAATATGTTAATAAGAACCTATTCTGCATATGGATGTAATGTCTTACTATAATCTAATACACAGCGCCTCAGAGAGTAGAGACATGACGGGCTTATTTTTGTCAGATACTATGTGATGACATCACTGATATGCAAATTAGTGTGTGATGTCATATGGCAACATTTAGCTACTTTTTATTGGAAATAGTTGGCAACACTGAAGGATAAAGGGAAAAGCCTACAAGTCTTGGAACACCATCCCAACTGTGAAGTATGGGGGCGGCAGCAGCATGTTGTGGGGCTGTTTTGCTGCAGGAGGGACTGGTCCACTTCACAGCATAGATGGCATCATGAAGAAAGAACATTATGGAGAAATACTGAAGCAACATCTCAAGACATCAGCCAGGAAATTAAAACCTGGCCACAAATGGCTCTTCCAAACAGACCGTGACCCTAAGCATACTGCCAAATTAGTTAAATTGTGCTTTAAGGACGGCAGAGTGAATGTTTTGGAGTGGCCATCACAAAGCCCTGATCTCAATCCTATAGAAAATGTGTGGGCAGAGTTGAAAAAGCTTGTGCGAGCAAATCTGACTCGGTTACACCAATTCTGTCAGGAGGAATGGGCCAAAATTCCTGCAAACTATTGTGATAAGCTTGTGGAGGGATACCCAAAACATTTTACCAAAGTTATACAGTTTAAAATCAAAGCCAAAAAATACCAAGGAAATGTGTGTAAACTTTTAACTGTCTAGAAATTAATAAAAAAAAATTCCCTCATTCTGGCATTTAGCAAATGTAAATCATTTAGGTAATCCTAACGGACCTAAAATTGTAAACGTTTAGTATGATTTACCATCAGAAATGTTTTTAAAAAAATGTCCTTTTTTTAGCGTGTATGTAAACTTCTGGTTTCAACTGTATAATTAATTTAATCAAACCAATCTGGTGCTACAGACAAGCTCTTAGTGAGCAGTATAGCTATCCCTATAATCTGTGATCAGCTATTAACAAGTCAGGGGAGTTCATCGAGATCTACCTGAGCTCAAACTCCCCTCTCGCCCTGCTAATGGAAGGGAGCCCGAGGCTCTCTCCTAGGACAGAATGCCAAACAAGCTCTATTACCAATCATCAGCTATGTGTGAACTCTTGAAATACTTACAGTGCACCCATAAAGTATTTAAAGCGCTTCACTTTTTCCACATCATGTGATTTTTCTGTTTTTTTTTTTTTGTAATAAATATGAAAACAATTTAAAAAAATATATTTTTTCACATTGTCATTATGGGGTGTTGTGTGTAGAGTTTTAAGTAAAATGAATGAATTTAATCCATTTTGGAATTATGCTGTAACAAAAAAATGTGGAAAAAGGAAAGCGCTATGAATACTTTACGAATGCACTGTAAGGTTATTACATCAACTAGGCAAAAACCATCAAACCATTTGGTGTGCGCATTAACCCACATCTACAAAATTTAAACATAAACCTGGACATATTAAGTCAAATGCACTTCAGTGCCCTGCCTCATTGGACTCTAAAGAAGCCCATAATCAATATGGATTTAGGACATCAGAAGAAAGGAGTGACTCATCCCAATGTATACAGACAACAATATTTGGATATTAGAAGCCAATATTCTCAGCATTCACCTATTTTTACAGATGGCTCAAAGGTGGAAAATGGCGTAGCAGCAGCAATGGAAACTGGTCAACAACATTATGGAATCAGTCTGCCTAAAGATTGCTCCATATTTACAGCTGAAGCCCGCACTTTACTTTTAGCATTGGAGTTTATAGAAAATGCCCAGCAAAAGAAATCCATCATTTTTACAGACTCTAAATCATGCCTCCAAGTTATGGAATCT